CCTACGCTCTAGTGACGATCTCCAAGCACACCGCGTTCTTCTCACGACGTAAGGAAGTCGTGTCTTCTCAGCAGCTACAGGCTCAGACCAGGAGAGAGGGGCGTCTGCTCCGGCTGGAGCACTGTCACCCACAAAGCAGGCTGAAAATTTGGAAGTTTGACAAACTGAAGTTATGCGATTGGCTCTGTCAACCTGTTCTAGGTACATCATGTAGAAGAGTCAGTCCCAATCCCGGCCAGCGAGATGGATACGTGTACCAGCACGTATTACTTACTAAAAACCTAGGAAATGCAGTCAGGGAATAGAACAAGAACCAGAAATAGCTCAAGTGGACCTCGAGGATAAATTCTGCATAGCTAGCAGGTCAACAAAGCCGTACTTCAGGCCTGCGTGTTCAGGTATAAATCTGGTCATTTTGGGGGGAAATGGTGGGTAAATACCCTTGTAGGACGTGGCATTAGCACACAGCGTGTCTGAAAGTAATGGATAGGGATCTAAGGCAAGCAGGAACCCCAGCTCTAGCTCAGGGCTTTTTACTGTGCCCAGTACTGGCTGGAATGCTCTACTGTGAAGAGCTCTGCTCCACCAAGGGTCTCTTTATCCTTCCCCACGTGACACAAATACTGTAACTCACTCCCCATTTCCCCAGGAGAAAAACACCATTCTTACAGAGATCTCTAGTTCTGTAAAAGTAGTTCATTTTGAGGTGTACTACAGCATCCCCAGATGGTGGACAGGCTTGATGTTTTCCTCACATCCAACTTCAGGAAGTACAAGTAGTAGAGAATTCTTGTATATGCTTCACAGAGGATATACGGGGGCGGAGGAAAGGAAGGGTCAGGGAATAGATCTGGTCAGGCCTGCTTGGAAGCCAACAGCAGCGTAGTGCCACACTCATGTGCCAACTTTTCCCCAGGATCTTTGGGTTTTGGGGTAAAATCAAAGCACGAGCCCTGCCTCTGGCAGAAGCACAGCACAGCCTGCAAATTCTTTGCCTTCCAAAGCTTCCATTAGTTTCTTCACTACTTCCTAAATGTTAATTTAAAAAAAAAAAAAGCGCCAATTTAACTATCAGCCAGAGAATGAAAACAGGTGCCACAGGCTTGGGAGAAGAACAGAAATTTAATTAAACCCTTTGGAGTTCTACAGTCATGTCTGCACAAAAGTGCCTGAAAACCTAGTGCAAGAAAAGTCTGCAGGTATTACATTTTCTTCACGGTAGATTAAGCTGCCCAGCAAAAATTGAATTACTGGAATTCTGTACTTAAAACGAGCTTAAACCCTCTGCCACAGTATGCATGAAAAATGTGTACTGACAAGTGACTATCACCAGTCACAGTAACGAGTTACATACCCTCAGACACAGGAGATTTAACCAACAATGTGAGAGGTAAGAGCTTAAATTAAATCACTATCATCACCTGGGTAACAGGTACTTACCCACCTAAACTGGGCACGAGATCCGCGTATCAACTTTTTAGTAAGCGAGGATGTTAAAAATACATACGTGGAATGAAACGGAGCGCTGCAGGAACCCTGCACGGGACATAATACCACGTGAAGAGCTGAACCAACCAGAAAAGGTATTTATGAACTAGATGTTGTGAGCTATTCTGAGAAACGGGCGGCACAGACCAACCTTCGTGTCAAAATAAGCCTTTTTGCCTCTTAAAGCAATTGGACTGAAACAGCGGCTGAATCTGGCCGCATTCATACAGAAGCACACTGTCATTCAGCCACGCGCGTTTCTGACATGTGGACGCACTACAGCACTCCGCAAACGGCAACAGGCACACGGGCCATGTTCATCTGTCGGAGGGCGTTAACATGGGAGTGGAAACCTGCTCATCACCTGAAGCTTAAATGACTGACATGATAGTAATGTAAGTTACAGAATTTCCACCGAGTGTAGTTGAAAGGTAAAAAGTAAATGAGGAGAAGTAGCAAAGATTTCAAATGAACCCCTCCCCCAAAAATACATTCACAGAAAGCAACTGTAGCAGAAAATACTTTAATTCGCATTTTATAGATTCAAACATAGCAAAGATTCAAAGTGTTTAGGTCTCAGTAAGCAGTTCCAATGCTGATTTTGATTTTAATAAATATTACATTTCAGTAGGCTAGCTGTATGGAGGAATTGTGAAGTGATTGCTACTTTATGAACTTCGGCGTCGACATTATTTACAACACGTTACAGGTCATTTCCCAGAACAGCACAGCTCAAGGTCAGCCAAGGGCAACCCAGCCATCAGAACACGAGGAAGTGCGGCACAGCGTATTTTACCCGCACACAATGACATCCCGCCCAAATCATCAGCTGAAGTAGGAAAACACTTCTGTTACCCCAGCTTACACGAGCCTCCCTGTTTCACACCTTCCTCCTCGGGCACGAAGAGCCCGCTGTGCAGCAACAGCGCCCTACCTTTCGCCTATGAGGCTTGCACCACATCTTATTCCCGTAAGTCTTGGTGACTTGGGAAAGATTAAACACTTCTGGCTTCTCACCACCTCTGGGATTACAATCATTGTGTCAGCTGTATAGGGAAACATACTTTGAAACGAAGGGCAGACAAAACTGGCAAGCTCATCTCCAACAGGGAGCTGGAATTTAAAATAGTTTACACGTCACGGACAGTGTAACTAACCTTATTCTTCAGTATAAAAACCGATCTGCAAGTTTCTAAAATTTAATGTAACATGTAAAGAACCCGGCTCATGTGGCAAAACCTCATAGGCAGCATACTCACAGAATGCACAGCAAATACAGTAAAAAAGATGGTGACCAGTAAATGTTTCCACTAGATCTGTAACCAGAAAAACCCCGTCTCCTATTTCTACGGTGCCAGCGAAGCAAAACGCCTTCCATATTTGATCGCCAAGTGAGATGTGCCTCCGAGCGCAACAGGACTTCCCCGCGCGCAGCATTTGCTGTTCAGTGGCACCCCTGCGTTTTCATGGCACGAAGGAAAGGAAGAAAAGCTTCCCGTCTCTTCGCAGCCTTGCCCGGCGGCATTAACCTGGCCTGCATCGTGCTGGTGAGAAGCGGGTGCCTGAATCTCTCACCCGTCCCACGAGCAAGTGCACGATGCCAGTCTGTTACGCTGCTTCTGTGTCCATAGATGTTCGCCAGGCACAGGTGGAAAAACAGACAGATAGCAAGTTGCATCCCCAGAAGAAGGTCAGAAGCAATTTGCTTTCCCCACAAAGCAAGGGGAAAAAGGAAGAAACCATTCTGAGGCTCGGGTCCTTCCTGGGGCAGCACAGAAAACAGGTTTTTTTCAACTGGAAAATCCTGCCTGATGCTTTAGGCACTACAAGACACCAGGATACAGGGAAGTGCCAGCTGTACAGCATTCTCCACACAGGCGAGCCTGCCGTTTCTAGCCCTTGCAGGTCAGTCCAGAAGGCAAGGAACTGATAACCGGCTGAGAACCACACGCTTTCAATATATAAAATTACTCAGAGGAGCTAGATACTCAGGGTGTAACTCATTTGCCAACCACACCTGAACTAGTTCCCTAGATTCCCACTTCAATAGAACAGGGAAAAATAAACTCTAGGGTGCACACACAGAGCTTGGAATAGGCCAGATGGATCCACCTAGAAATCAGCCCTTCTCCATCAGCCAGGAAAGGGAAGCCAATGGTGACCTGCTCAGACGGGTGCCCACAGGCCAGAGTGAGAACGTGACATCCCCAGACCGGCACCAGCCTTCTCTGACACCACGTTAAATTCTCTACCAGCTTCAAGGCAAACTTCCGACTGCATGCCAGTTCACTGCCAACATGCAAAACCATCACCAAAAATTTGTGGGGGTGGTTTGGTTGATGGGTTGTTCTTTTTTTTCTTTCATTTAGCCTACCCCATTTTGGCTCGAGGGTTTACTCTCTGAGAAACGGTATTTTTCATAACAGCAAGCGGCAGCAGGATAGTCTACCTCGCTTCCAGTCAGGCAGAAATCTGAGGCTACTCTGGAAACGAAGGATGCAGAGCGTGTTCTGAAAGCTGGAATACATCAGCTGGAAAGGGCCACGTTACGGAAGCCAATACAGTTACAATCAATAGTCTAAACAGGTCACTAAATATCTGGTGGGGTGAAAAATGTTTAAGAGCACTTTATTTTGTGAAGACTTGTTTTTAAAAACAAGAGATGTACCTACACAGTACCAGCACTCCCTACAGTCATAAACTCTTAACTTCCCCTTGGAACATGCTGGTTGATAAAAGTTATTACCTCATTTTAAATTTAAGCCAGTATTTGGTTGCTACTAATCAGTAGGGCTGTTTTGGAATTTTGTTCTGGACAATGATAAGTCGTCGCTGACATCTGTGGACAACGATACATGAGTAGAAAGTTAGGTTATTAACATACCCGTTTTTTTACGCTGAATATCCTTTTAAAGAAGATACAGTTAGGGATTGCATAGATAGAGTATGCAGTATTAAATCTCTGTGTGATTATGAATTTTAAAAAGCATCTTTTTAAAAGTGACTACAAAATCAAGTTGTTCCTTTTTGCACTGACCTCTTGACAGCACTAAAGCATAACCCATAACAAGCGAACTTATTTCCACAGCTCGAAGACTGAAGTGTGCTATTTTAACATTTCAGACATTAAAAAGTCAATTTCTGGAAACTGAATTTGTGATTACAGTCTAGAAAATAAAAGGGAGTAGATGCAGATTTGATTGAGAGGCTTTTCAGGTAGCAGCACTCCACTATCCACCTCCCCCTGCCCTGCCCCCCATCACCCCCACGCAAATGCAGGTAGCCAAGGGGCTGCAGGAAAGTAATTTCCAACCATGCTGCTTCAGAAACAAGGTAGTTATTTTAGAGAAAAAGGGACAGTCTGAAAAGCAGCACATAAGGAAAAAAAAAAAATTGGTATCAGCATGATGCGAAGGAGCTCAGTAAATTTCCTATTTTTAAGAAAGTTTTATTATTACAGTAAGAAGCCAGAGCTCAACAAGAGCCTTTTTTTTTTTTTTCTTTCTTTCTTTTAGACAGCCAGAACCAGCACCCCCAGTCCTCAGAATATACTGAAGCTCAGCACTGGGGAGAGACAAGAGGTAAACCACCTCTCTCAGGACAGGCCCAGTCAGGGTGGAGGTACGGATGTTTCCATATAAAACAACTGTCTCAGAAAGACAAGGAAATAAAGAAAATATATGAAGTTTCAGCACTACAGAACTGTGAGCAGAGAACTTTAAAAATTAACAGATCAGCATAATTTACACCTTTAAAAACTATATATTTCATTCATAAATATCTAATTAGTAACTATTCCGGGTTTAAACATAAATATTCAAGTTGGTATTTGCTTTTCCTTTGTATCAGTTCATGCGAGTCCTGTAAGGATCAGTTCCTCCTGCTCAATTGCAGTCCCGTAAACGGTCTTCACTAATGGGTTGTGCAAAGGCCTTCATTACCTAGTTTGTTGTAATAAAACTTTAAAATTCTGCAGCTCCCTTATACTTGTGGAAAGCCTGTAAAACAAAGACTCCTTAAGCGTTAGTAAGTCAACTGGGAAAGAATAGTGCAAGTCACTATCTGCCATGGGGGCTTTTTGCTTGTTCCCTCCCTTCCCGAACACAATTCTATTCCAAAGCTGAACACACTTCAGATACTACTTTGCCTCAAGAGATCTACTACCTGACTCTCCATTGTATTTATGTACCCTACTACAGGGATTAAAGCTTATATAGAATGTTTAATTGTCATGACTTCATTTAACACCTAAAAATCTCTAACCAGGGGTAGCAATGTTTGTTACATTCTTTGAAACAGGAACTGATTGTTACACTCAAGAACCAGCATGATGAACGAAGCAAGTTCTGCCCATCTTTTAACGCTGTTAAAATATTTCATTTCATCACTTGAATGCGGTAAATTATTTTAAAAAAATCAAAACGTAAGTTTTAACAAAAAAAAGTTGCATCTCACACAAAAATCCCAAAGCCTGAGGGCTAAATGACAGTGTTAAAAAAAATCTCCAAGTATTTTTCTTCCTTTTCACTACTTTTTACATACACATGTTTAAAACAAACACAAATGCACTACAGCTGTAGTCAGTGCTCAAGAAGGAGGAGATGTACTCAAAGTCAAATGCTTATGACTGCTTAAGAGATTTAAATCCAGCTTTCAGGAGATGGAATTTATGAGATCTGAGATAAGAGACAAATTAGATCCAAACACAGAACGACGACCAAGGCTAATACTCAACACTCTACATAATCAGTTTGGTGGCATTAAGTTTATCAGTGTTCCTAACAGCAATTCGGCCTTCAAAAAGCTACAGCTGCACGTATGATTCCATCTTTCCACAGACCTCGAGTGCTGACACAGAAGTCTTACAGTTTTTCTGCTGTGCAAATGATAAAACCTTACCTTCCAAAGGCGTTCACAAGAGCAACTATTTCTTGACGTGTGAGTTGAAAACCTTTAGATGGGCTGTTCTCAGGAAGGCTCTGTATTTCTTTTTCAGAGAACAAGATCTTCAGAGCAGTTCCTAAGCCTTGAGTCTACAAAAAAAAGTACAGTGTTTTAACATCAGTAAGATCACTCCTTCGAACGCTCAGAAGGCTGTAGACAAGTTAAAAAATGACTAATCCAGGCAAACTGCAGTAGCAAGTCTTATATTCTGGCGCTTCCTCGGCCCAAATAAGTGCACACAAACCAGGACACTAGTGCAAAGGCGTGCCACTGCACGAGGTTCAGTCACTTAAGAACATTTGTTTCCTCGGATATAACTGCTCTTCACCCTCCTGTTTTTAATCTCTTCCTTTTCCATCTCTTTCCTTCTCAGCCACAGCAAATGCATATGAAAATGTGCCTGTTACAACACTCGTAGCTCCCTCCCATCCCTCACCTCACAGGCGCCCTGCTGCTTCAGGAACTGCTGGACCAGATCTCCCCTTTCCTCTCCTCTCCCCCTTTGAAGTCAAACCAGGTTTTATTATGAGGCATTACAACACTTCTGCTTTTTCCACCTCTGGTCCCAGTGACAGACATTGCAGTTTCAGTTCCAATCCCTATCTTCCATACAGAAATAGAAGAGAAACAGCCATTCTTATTTCTCCTTTTAACCAGGCTACAGAAAACACCACTGGATTTTGACAAGAAGTGGTTGAGGCTGGCTGCAAAAGGATTTTGTCAGTCAGGAAATCTGGCCCTATTTCATTCTGTGTGAGAAGAAAAAAGCAGCGATAGATCAGAAGCATTAACTAGGACAGGGTAGGCAGAACTCCAGAAATTTGGCAGAGACCACCAAATTTTTGATGTTCTAGATTTCTTTGAAAACTGAACTCCGATAAGCTTAAGGCTGTACAGCAGTACAGGACAGGGCCTGTAGTGACAGGACAAGGGGTAACGGGTTTAAATTGAAAGTGGGAGGTTTAGATTGGATATCAGGAAGAAGTTCTTCACGGAGAGGGTGGTGAGGCACTGAAACAGGTTGCCCAGGGAAGCTGTGGATGCCCCATCCCTGGAAGTGTTCAAGGCCAGGCTGGATGAGGCTTTGAGCAACCTGGTCTAGTGGAAGGTGTCCCTGCCCATGGCAGGGGGCTTGGAACCGGATGGTCTTTAAGGTCCCTTCCAACCCAAACCGTTCCTTGATTCTATGACAGTAGGCACCCCAAAGTAACAACTGTTCTCAGACTGGACATAACATTGGTCTTGAAGTTTAAAATAATCTTTTCAATTAAAAAAACCAAACAAACAATGTCCAGAAACTAGATGGTTTTTCAACTTTTAGCTTTACCGTGCACCTTTGCATTCCTTTGCTGCTTTCTGCACAAATTGTGAGAGCCTGGATTACTTCATTCTTACACGTCAATTGTGGAGTTAAATCTGGATTTCCTATCAATTAAGCAAGTGCTGCGTTTCCAGGAAGGCTTCCCACAGGGGGATTCTACAAGGCTCATCTGATCAGTGAACACAGGTAAGAGACTGACTGCCAGCAAGACCTCGCTGTGAAGCGTCTGCCTTAAATACGTTTTCTTTTGGCGAATACAAAGCTATACCTTTTAGTAACCTAAACAGCTGTTGACCAAACAAACAGGTTTTCAAACTTTTTAATTTGTCTAACAACAAATTAAGCGTACATGTATTTTCAACATACAGGTAAGGCTATCGAAGACGACCCCTCTGTGCAGCAAGCCTGAACGCTAGGGTAAGAAGGCTTCCCACCAAACCCAAACCGGTGCTTGTCTTCTCACCGCCCCCCGCCGCCGCACACGCAGAATAAACCGTACCTGCAGTTTGCCCCACAGCCTGCATTTGTCACACCCAACACAATCCATTATGCGGGATATGTTCTTGAAATGCAATCGGAATTCTTCCTATCAGTTAAAAACAACGTAAAGAGAGGTGAGGTTGAAGTACCTCTTAGTTTTACAAAAACAGAAGGTTAAGTAATCTAGAACATCAGTTCTCTGCTACTAAAACTGAACAAAACCACTCCCTTATGGGGTCAGGCCATAACAAAGGTCCACATAAACCCAGGAATCTTGTTTCCAAGCCACTGCTAACAATTAATTCCTCAGATAAAAACACCCTGCATGTTCTGCATTTTTGGGAACGCATGAATTCTGTACACTGAGTTTCTACCAACTTTTTCAAAACTCTTGAGCCCTAAGTACTGTATCTGTGTCCCCGCCTGATTCTTCTTCCATCATTCAAATCCCTTTTGAACCAAGCTACCTTTTTGACAAAGAGGAAAATAAATTACAATGCACAAAAGGCATTTCCTGTCCAAAGCTATGGGTAGATTGCTGCTTTGCAGGTTCTGTCACAGTGGAAGCCAGCCCAACACAGCACTAATTAAGATGATCTCGATTAACTATATATGTAAGGTCAGAAAAACACAAGCAGGACTGATAAACTATTAGCCCCTTTCTAAGGGCATGCTTTCTAATGCTGATGAAATTCCATACCACTACTGAAGTAAGGATGAGAAGTGCTGAGTATTAAAACAGGCCTTTATGGAACTGCAGTGCATGCCCGTCTGAACACCAGGCCGTCGACACAGAAAGCTGCTAGGTAGTTACAGCAATCGCATCAGGTTCCCACCTCTAGGAACTATGCTGTTCTCACGTGAAGTATAATTTGATGTTACACTGTACTACATTACATCACACCACATAAGGCATCTACTTTTTAAGCAAACATTGCTGTTTGGTTTGGTTTTTTTTTTTTTTGCCCCCCCCCCCAGCAAACAGACGCTCTATTTAAAAACGCCCATCATTGCATCTACCGGTAATACCGCTTCAACTCATCTGCCTCACCACAGTCCTGATGGCAGAGCCAAGGCACTAAACCAGAGATTTCAGGCTCCTTGGCTCAGGACACCTTGTATTCATTTACTATAAAACAGATTACGAGGCCTGAGATACAATGCTGTACGTTTTTATCCCTGCCTTTCTACTCTCAGCAGCGGTAGGTAGAGAGGATTTCTAAAATAACACAGCTTAATTTCAAAATGGATGTTTTGGGTGTCATTCAGAAAAGTAGCTTTACCTTTAAAGACTTAGCTCCCTTTTTATCTCCAGCAAACATGGACTTTTCATCGAAGTGCATGTGAAAGGACCTAATAAAGACAAAATGCAAGAAAAAAACCCAAAGACTGGCATCAGCTACAGTGTTCCATCACACTTGGTGAGCAGTTGATGCCACTGCTGTAAAATACTTTTCAGAGTCTTTGCACAGTATAAATTTTACTATTCAGTCTCTAACTTGAAATCTGTTATTTACAGTTTTGTTGAGAATTTTCTGCACTCCATTCCCACTGATCAAAATTTCTTTCTAATACACACTGAAATTGTCATACTGTTTGCCTTTCAGTCAATCGCTGTCTGCCCACACCTCAAGCACCGAGCAAGATTACGAGCAGGGACAGCAGTGAAGCCACCCAGCACGTTACCAGTCACAAAAACGAGTGAGAAGGTGAGCATAGGAACTGGACTGAAGAACCTTACAGAGTAATCAGAAGGAAGAAGGGATGGCTAGAACCCCACAGGTTAAGTTTGTGTTAAAGCTGGATTTACTCGCTGGATCATTAAAAAGACTGTATGTACTATTTTACTTTTCAAAATAAACCATGTTCATCTTATACTGAAGAATCAGAAAAAGCAACAAACAGGGAGTAGCACAGGGTGTTGTCTAGGTGGGGTGGGTTGGTTGGTTTGCTGTTTGCCTTTTTTTTTTTCTTTTTTAAAGTCTGGTATATTCAATCCTCAAAAACATTCATCTCTTCCCATCCACTGTAAAAATTCCTCTTGCTCTCTCCCATGACTTAGTTTTATTCCTTCATTCCATTATCCTCCTCATCCCACCCTGTATCGAAGTCTTCTATTCTCACTCACAAATATAACTGAGAATTTCAAACAATCGATAAAAAAACTCCCTGCGCCTTACTTTGTATCCCTGAAGATGTCTAGTAAGAGAGCTTTAGATTCAGCATCCTCATGGCCGTTTCCAGTGTAAAGGTCAACAACCGAACGCTCAAAGTACGGCGCAACCTTTGACAAAGCACGCAGCTCTATCAAATACAAGAAATACAAGTTCTTGAGCCTCCTCGGCCCTTCTCCTTTTGTTTCAGTAGGGTCGAAGCGGCGAGTGAACTCTTTCACGTTCGGTCCCCAGCGAGGCTTCCCCCAGGTTTCTACACAAAGGGGGGAAAAAAAGGACAGGGAAGTAAAACATACATATTTGGAAAGACAGCAACTAAGTATACATCCAAAATTTTCAGAAAAAAAATACATGTTACAAGTATACTTAGACTTAAATTACCTTCAAGAAGATAATTTGCACACAGATGCAAGTTAATGCTAGCATGAAGTCCAGAAATGAGTTTGTAAAACACTCTCTTCTCAAGACAAAGACCTGTCCAGGAAAAAAGCCAAACAGACCCCAAACTAAATACTGGAAATACCATATTAAAATAAATACACCTTGACATTTCAGTGACATAAGTTAAATGATGCAGACTTGCAAGAGTTATAACTACAGTACTTCGGCGTTGTTAAAAAGCCTTACATCCATCGTCGGTAAAGTTTACCTCCTACTTTTTATATAAAGATGTACCAAGAATGAAGTTTGATATTTCTTACTTGGTATTTTAGTGTTTTAATACATACAGTCAAACAAGTATCTGGTCAGTCAGTACAGATAAACTGCCACACAAAAATAAGACCCTTACTCTGAGCAATAAATTTGAACTAGTCTTGAATGTTGACGGTCTGGAAACCAGAACTATACCATGACCCATCATCCTACCTAGAATTAAAGCTACCGCTGAATTAGAGTTGCGACCTCACAGAAAAACATCAAAAACCCCAGAAAAACCTTATGGCATAGGAAAACAGCAAACATATTTCTTCCCAGCTCTACTGTAACTTCACTGAAGATTTAAATGCGCAGAGAAAACCTTGAAACGTAACTTCGATGGCCACGGGCTTCTACAGCGTAAACAGAAACGTGATGGCACTGGGTGGCCAAAATATCATTTAAGTGCAGAAATTACTTATCACTTAGATCCAGACTGGCCTTGGAATTTAGGACTCCATTCCTTTCTCAAAGATATTTGGGTGACCCCCCTGCCACTCCAACCTCCACAGAGAGAAGTGGGAAGAGCTGACGGTGAAGCCTATCTGTGAGGCTGAGACAGGGCCTCACTTAGAGACACCGCATTTTAAAAATCATGTGAAGTCGCATGTTTTCCTACAACAGCACCAGTTAGGGATTCCCATCTAGACACATAAAGGCTTATGAAAGGCAGAAAGAACTAAGCTTAAAATTGGGCACGTTTAGAATCATAGAATCACTAGGT